CCACCTCTCAACATTGTAACATCAGGGATTAAGTTTCTAACCCAAACTTTTTTGGGGACACATTCAAACCACAGTAAAGTTGTAGGTGAAGCCAGACACCGTGGCTTGTACTTATAATCCCAGCACTTTGGGAGGTCAAGGTGGGTGGACTGCTTGAGCTCAGCAATTCAAGACCAATCCTGGCAATATAGCAAAACCCCATCTGTACAAAAACTACAAAAAATAGCTGGGCATGGTGGCGTATGCCTATGGTCCCAGCTACTCAGGAGGCTGAGGTGGGAGGATTGCTTAAGCCCAGAAGGTCAAGGCTGCAGAGGGCCAAGATCACACCACGGCACTTCAGCCTGGGCAACAAAGTGAGACCCTGTCTCAAAAAAAAAAAAAAAAAGAAAAGAAAAGAAAGAAAAAGGGTACTTCTCTGGAAAACTTTAAAGAACACTTTGTATTAATCTCTGGAAGTATAGAAATCTCCTTAAAAGATCAGACTGTTTATTTAAATTTGAATATAATTCCCAGAATTAATACTGATCAAGATTTCTAGTGATTAAATCAATCCATTTTACTGGAATAAAAATATGAATATAAAGTAATTGTGAGAAATAAGAAATTTAATAGATTTAATAGACCACGTGGTTGGAATAACTATAGTACTTCTATGATAGGACTTATAATGATGAAAAAGGAGAAAGCTTGACAAAGTATGTTAGAATATTAGCTTACCTGCTTTAAAGTTGCTATGAAGCGAGTTATATATTCTACAGTGACTGGGTCCTCAACTGTAAGCTTATGGCTCTGGCACTCCACACGGGCTCTGTTTATTACCACTCTAGCATCAGCAGTAAGTCCTATAAAAATTGTCAAAACTTCACAAAAACTACAAAAACATGTTTTTTACAATACATTTTTCCTTGTCAAATGGATTTTTGCCACAATGAAATCTTTCTTATCCTTTTCTCAATACATGCTCATTTAAAAATATTTGTAAGATAAAGTGTCATGTGTACTACATTCTGATTTATTTCAAGATTTAAGTTGATCCATTCTTATTTGTTTTTTATATAAGATGTTTTAAAGAATACTAGTTTATACACTAATGGTAAACTTGATTTCTTTTATGAAAACAAGAATATTACTTAATTATCAAATATATATTCCCTGAATTCAAACTCCATTAACACAACTGTGACATGTCACTTCTCAGTGTTTTGTCTAAAACCAAGAGTTTGAAGATGAAGAATGTTAAAATAGAAAACACTTGACCTTGCTCTTGCAATACCAAACTATCATGTGATTAATTCTCAACACTTCTGTAAGGAGACAAAGAGTTTTTATCAGAAGAGTAACAAACTGACCATGAACTTTAACTGATGCAATGGTTGCAAACATTTGTATTAAACTTCAGCATCTGACTTTTCCACGTCCATTTTGTTTCTTTCCCTACTCTCTTAATACTAACTAAACTGCCGAGAAAGTGCATTCACAAAATCTTGGAAGCGTAGTCATTTCTAACAAAATCACCGGTCTTTTGCTGTCACAAATTCTTGTTTCCCTTCCACACCATTTCTAATCCTGTTTCTACAAACCCGGAAGAATCTTCAGTCCCTGAAGATAGTTAATATGAATAGCTACTCTTAACCGTCACTCATAGGTTGGGTAGAAATCGTAATCAGATATTCAGTTAAATGAAGAGAAACTGATTCTCTTTTTCCCTTTGCAAATGTTATTGATGAGAAAGAAATGGCAAGACACTGATTTAGTCTTTCCTATGGATGAAAACGTCACTCAATTTGAAATACGATCAAACAGAATATGTATTTATAGGTTTTCCTATGGATGAAAACGTCACTCAATTTGAAATATGATCAAACAGAATATGTATTTCTCCTTTACAATGTAAATCATCCAAGCCCAAGGAAACAAAAGTAACATACTTAGGAAAGTAGTAATATAACTGATTCAAGGAAAAAATAGTGATAAATTTGTCAAAGTATATGAGCAACATAGTTATGTGTATATCTGTTTTTAATAAGTAGCAAGATTATTATCAATTGGCTAGCAGAGAACACATTCTATCTTAACAAATTACAATTAAAATTTACATTTAATCAGTCAGGAGACTTGCTTGAGGCCAGGTGTTTGAGACTAGCCTGGGCAATGCAAAGAGACCCTGTTTCTATAAAAAAAAATCAAAAAGCTAGCAGGGCATGCTGGCACATGCCTGTAGTCCTAGCTACTTGGGAGGCTGAGGCAGGGGGATTGCTTGAGCCCAGGAGTTTAAAGCTGCAGTGAGCTATGATCATGCCACTGTACTCCTACCGGGGGTGACAAAGTGAAACCCTGTCTCTGAAAAAAAAAAAAAGGAATCAAATTAAAATTTACATTTAGAATTACAATTTCACTTTGCTTAAAAATGAACAATCTACAGAAAAAAATGAGTATTCAGTCTAGTGCTCTTAAATATGTACAGGTTGAGTATCCCTCATCCCTCATCTGAAAATGCTTGGGATCAGAAGTGCTTCAGATGTTTTTCCAAGTTTTGGAATATTTGTGTATACTTACCGGTTGGGCATCCCTAATCTGAAAGTCAAAAATCCAAAAGGCTCCAATGAGCATTTCCTTTGAGCATCATGTTGGTGCTCAAAAATTTTCAGATTTTGGAACATTTTGGATTTTCCAATTGGGTATTTTCAACTCGTATCACAATTTTATATGGAGGATACAATCATAATGTAAAATTTCTGCTACTAAGTGGAGTTCCACATGGTACAGGAAACAATTTTTTTGTAGTCCGACTTGTTCTTTCACCTGTACTTTTAGTGTCATATTCAAGAAATCATTTCCAAATCTAATCTCATGAAGCTTTCCCACTATGCTTTATAGTTTTAGCTCTTATGTTTGGGTCTTCCATTCATTTTGACTTAATTTTTGTATGTGATGTTAGGCAGGGTCCTACTTCATTCTTTTTATGTGAATACTCAGTTTCCCCTGCACCATTTGTTTGAAAGATTGTCTTTTCCCCCACTGAGCAGTCTTGGCATCCTTGATAAAAGTCATTCGACCGTATCATATATGCAAGGATTTATTACTACGCTCTCTTATTCAATTCCATTAGTTACATGTCTTTCATTAAGCCAGTCATGAAACTGTTTTGCCTACAGTATCTTTGTAGTAGATTTCAAAAACAAGACATGTGAGACCTCCAAGATTGCTCTTCTCTTTCAAAATTGTTTTGTCATTCCATATGAATGTTATAATTCTTTTTTATTTAAAAAAATTATTGGAATTTTGTTAGGGATGACACTGAATCTAAACTGCTTTGGATAGTATTGACATGTTAATAATCCTGAGTCTTCCAATCCATTAATGGGGGATATCTTTCCATTTGTGTCTTTTTCAATTTCTTTCAGCAATGTTTTGCATTTTTCAGAGTACAAATCTTTTACCTCCTTAAATTCATTCCCAATAAGTATTTTATTCTTTCTGATACTATTGTAAACAGAATTGTTTTTTTTAAATTTCCTTTCCTGACAGTTCATTGTCAGTACATAGAAATGATTTGGGGCTTGGTGTGGTGACTCCCACCTTTATTGTAACACTTTGGGAGGCTGAGCTGGGAGGATCACTTGAAGCCAAGAGTTTGAGACCAGCCTGGGCAACATAGTGAGATCCTGCCTCTACAAAAATAATAAAAATTAAAAAATTGCCAGGTGCAATGGCACACACCTGCAGTCCCAACTATTCAGGAAGCTGAGGTGGGAGGGTTGCTTGAGTCCAGGTGTTCAAGGCTGCAGTGAGCTATGATGATGCCACTGTGCTTCAGGCTGGGTGACAGAGTGATACCCTATCTCAAATTAAAAAGAAAAAGAAAGAAATTACTCTGGGGTGTTGATTTTGTGTCCTACAAATTTGCTCAATTTCTTTATTATTTGCAACATTTTTGGTGGAATCTTTAGTTTCCTATATAAGATCATGTCTTCTGTGAATAGAGATGATTTTTCTTCCTTCCCAATTTGGATACCTTTATTTATTTTTCTTTCCTAACTGCTCTGGCTAAGACTTTCATTACTATGTTGAATAGCGGTGGTAAAAGTGGGCATCCTTATCTTCTTTCTGTTTCTAGAAGGAAAGCTTTCAATCTTTCACAACTGAGTATGATGTCAGCTGTGAATTTTTTACATAGATAGCCTGAATTATGTTGTGGTGACTTCCTTTTATTTCTAGTTTGTTGGGCACCATTACCAAGAAAGAATGTTAAATTTTGTCAAATGCATTTTCTATGTTATTGATATAATTATATAGTTTTTTTCTTTCCTTCTGCTAATGTGGTATATTACATTGATTGATCTTCATATGTTGAACCATCCTTGCACTCCAGGAATAGATCCAAATTGGTCATGATGTATTATTATTTTATTGTTCTGAATTTGGTTTGCTAGTAGTTTGTTGAGGATTTTTGCTCACTGCTCATAAGGGATATTTGTCTACAGTTTTCTTTTCTTGTAATGTCTTTGGCTTTGGCATCATGTTAATATTGACCTCATAGAATAAACTTGGAAGTGTTTACTTCTTAATTTTTTGGAAGAGTTTGAGAAGGACTGCTATTAATTCTTCATTAAAACGTTTGGTAGAATTTACTGGTGAAGTCGTTAGATCCCAGACTTTTTTTTGTTGGGAGGTTTCTGATAACTGATTCAATGTCTTACTGTGTCTGCTCAGGTTCTATTAATATATCTTATTGAGCAGGGTAATTTGTATGTTTCAAGGAATTCTGTCCATGAACAATTGTTCACAGTACTCTCTTAAAATTGTTTTTAAGAATTAAAACTGTAAAACTGGCACTAATGTCCCCTTCTTCATTTCTCATTTCTCATTACTTGAGTCTTCTCTCTTTTTTTCTTAGACAGTCTAGCTAAAGAGTTGTCAGTTTTGTTTATCTTTTCAAAGAACAAACTCTTGGTTTTGTTATTTTTCTCTTTTGTTTTTCTATTCTGTTATTTATCTATGTTCTGGTCTTTATACTTCTTTTTCTCAAATTTAGTACCACAGTATTTTATAACAGTAGAAAGTAACTGAAAACACTACATCCTAACAGACAATATGATATACAATCTATGGGAAGGAGTCATCAGGGAATTATTACTTCTTTCTACTAGCTTTAAACTTAGTTTATTCTTATTTTCCTAGTTTTAAGGTATAAAGGCAGGCTGTTGAATTGAGATCTTTCTTTTTTAATGTAAGTGTTTATGGTTGTAAATTTTTCTGTTAGCACTACATTCAATACATTCCCCAAGTTTTGATATGTTGTGCTTTTATTTGCCTTTCTCTCAAGATATCTGTTAATTTCCCTTGTGATTTTTTTTCACTGCCCCATGGGTGATTTAGGAATATATTGCTTAACTTCCACTTGTCTGTAGATTTTCAAGTCTTCCTTCTGCTATTAATTTCTAGTTCCACTCCATTTTGATCAGAAAAAATACTCTGTATGGTTTCAATCTTTTTTTTTTTTTTTGAGACAGGGTGATATGGTTTAGATCTCTGTACCCAGCCAAATCTCATGTTCAACTGTAATCCCCAATGTTGGACATGGGGCCTAGTGTAAGGTGATTGGCTCATGGGGGTGGTTTCTCATGACTAGCTTAGCACTATCCCCCAAAGATGTTCTTGTGATAGAGTTCTAACGAGATCTGATCATTTACAAGTATTTGGCACCTCTCCCTTCTCTCTCTCTTCTTCCTGCTCTGGTCATGTGAGATGTCTCACTCCACCTTTGCCTTCTACCATGATTGAAAGCTTCCTGAGGCCTCCCCAGAAGCAGAAGCTGCTATGCTTCCTGTACAGCCCGTGGAACTGTGAGTCAATTAAATATCTTTTCTTTATAAGTTACCCAGTCTCAGGTATTTCTTTTTTGTTGTTGTTGTTTTTCAGGTGTTTCTTTATAGCAATGCAAGAATGGACTAATACACAGGGTCTCACTCTGTTGCCTGGACTGGAATACAGTGGTGTGATCACAGCTCACTGCAGCCTCAATCTGCTGGGTTCAATGGATCTTCCCAGCTCAGTCTCCAAAATAGCTGGGACTACAGGCACACGCCACCATGCCCAGCTAATTTTTCTATTTTTTTAGAGATGAGGTTTCACCATGTTGCTCAGACTGTCTCGAACTTTTGGGCTCAAATGATCTGCCTGCCTCAGCCTTCCAAAATCTTGGGATTATAGGCGTGAGTCACCATGCCTGGATGTTTCAGTGTTTTTATACTTATTAAGACTTGTTTTGTGAAAAGATAACTCCTTTTTAAAGACAGTATAATAAAGGCATTTTTGTTTTTCTGAATGAAGTTTTTATTTATTTATTTTTTATTTTTTAAGAGAGATTATCTTGCTCTGTTGCCCAGGCTGAACTCAAATTTCTAAGCTCAAGTAATTCTTCTGCCTTGACCTCCAGAGTAGGTGCAATTACAGATGTGCACCATCATGCATGGCTTGAATGAGGTTGTTAAAACTTCAATATAAAATTACAGTTAAAAAAAACCCAATTAGAAAATGAGCAAAAAAAAAAAAAAAAAGGCAAGAGGCATGTCTTATTTGCTGTATAGAGGCAAATAAACACATAAAAAATAAGTTCAAAATTATTAGCCATGAGGGAAATAAAAATTAAACTTACAATTAGATATCACTACACATGTATAAGAATATAAAAAAATGAAGAAAAGCAACAATATCAAATGCTGATAACACAGAGCAAATGAATCACTCATATATTGCTAGTTGGAATTTAAAATAGTATAACCACTCTGGACTGGCAGTGTTTCATAAAACTAAGCATGGATTATCATATAATCCAGCAACTATACTCTTAGGAATTTGTCCCAGAGAAATGAAATCCTACTTTCACTCAAAAATCTGTACACAAATATTCATAGAGGCTTTAATTATAATAGTCAAAAATTGGAAGTAACTCAAATTCCCTCAATAGAAGAGTTAACAAACCCACTGGTGCCTTTATTCCATGGAATACTATTCAGTAATAAAAAGGAATGGATATCTGCAACAACTTGCATGAACTGCAAGGGAATTATGGTGAATAAAAAAGATTAATCTGAAAGAGTTATATATTATATGACTTTATCCATATAACATTCTCAAAATGACAAAATTATAGAGATACAGAATAGATAGTAGTTTCCAGAAAGCAGAGATGGTGAGAAGAAATAGCATGAGGTAGCCTTGTGGTGATGTAAGAGTTATGTATCTTGACTGTGCTGATGACTAAATGAATCTACATATGTGGTTACTGTAATAAAACTGCACACACAGGCCAGGTGTGGTGGCTCACACCTGTAATCTCAGCACTTTGGGAGACTGTGGCAGGTGGATCACCTGAGGTTGGGAGTTCGAGACCTGCCTGACCAACTTGGAGAAATCCCATCTCCACTAAAAATACAAAATCAGCCGGGTGTGGTGATGCATGCCTGTAATCCCAGCTACTCGGGAGGCTGAGGCAGGAGAATCGCTTGAACAAGGGAGGCGGAGGCTGCAGTGAGCCGAGATCATGCCATTGCACTCCAGCCTGGGCAATTAGAATGAAACTCTGCCTCAAAAACAAAAACAAATACAAAAAAACTGCACACATGTACATGAACGTGGAAGTGAATGCATGTAAAACGCAAAATCTGAATACACTCTCACCAAATCTCAATTTGCTGTTTTTAAAGATGTTACCATTTAGGGAAACTGTGTAAAGGTGACTTTCTATGTTTTGGGTAGCTTCTTCTAAATCTGTAATTATTTCAAAATAAAAAGTTTTGAAAAGAAAATAGCTACCTAAATTTTGAAGCAAAGTAATATATATCTTTTAACATTTGTACTTTATCAAAAATCCTGATTTACAAAGTTAGTATTTGCTTTAAAACATAGGATATATTGTTTGTGGAACAGCTCCACATGTTTTATAAATATAGCACAACTGCAGCACTGAGGTAACTGTGTTGCCCTACTACAGTAAGACACTATGCATCATATTGTAGGTCCATAAGTACCTGCAAAAGCCATGCAGACATGGTCATCAAGGGCACAAATTTTCCTCACAGTTCTTTCATCTTGAAGCTTGGCAACAGATTTTTTTTCTACTCCAAGAACAACTATGTTGGTACCTCGAATTCCGACCTGTCAAGTCATTAAAATACATATATATATATTCAGATGTCAGTTTTAAATATAAAACCAAGTTATTCTAACATACGACTTAGGGGAAATGACTTTTCCTTAAGTATTCATAAAAACAAGAAAAGTAACCTTCTAGAAAACAGCTGCATATGTATAGGTTTACTGGAGATACATTCCCCAGACTCAAAGCAAAGAAGACAAATAGGTAGAAATTGCAAAGGAAATACCACCAGTGCTGAAATTATGAGTGTCCTAATCCCATACAATACACCTGAAAAAGCGCTATCTAAATACAGTAAGTCCTCACTTAATGTCATTGACAGGTTCTTGAAAATTGCAACTATAAGGAAATGATGTATTATGAAACCAATTTTATCACAGCCTAATTAATATAAACCGGAGTTAGATTCATATGAAATATTTCTGGTCACAAAAACATCACCAAACTTCTAAACAAAGACCTAAAACACCTCTAATATTAAACACTGAAATAACTGTGAGCTGTATATACATTTAAGAAACACTAATAAAAACAAATATGACAAGGCTGGGTGCGGTGGCTCACACCTATAATCCTAGCACTTTGGGAGGCTGAGGCAGGGGGACGACTTGAGGTCTGGAGTTTGAGACCAGCCTGGCCAACACGGTGAAACCCTGTCTCTATTAAAAATACAAAAATTAGCCAGGCATGGCGGCAGGTGCCTGTAGTCCCAGCAACTCGGTAAGCTGAGGCAGAACAATCGCTTGAACCCAGGAAGCGGAGCTTACAGTGAGCAGAGATTGCACCACTGCACTCCAGCCTGGGCAACACAGTGAGACTCAAGCTAAAAAAAAAAAAAAGTATCATAATAATTTATCCAATTTTTGATGAATCCATGAGTGACAGCAGTCACAGTGGTGGTGGGTTAAATCAAAGAATAAATGTTTGCAAAGCAAAAATTTTAAGGAGCATCTCCTACCACCATTCAGTTTAAAAACAAACAATAAGGTCTATGACAAGCTCACTAAGTGCTTTCATACCTCATTGTTTACTGTTGTGCATCTGTATGATTATTATATATTTTATAAATTTTTATTTTATAATAATTTGTATTCATTATTCATTTTCCAATCTGCTTATCCAAGTTCAGGATCACAGGTGGCTGCAGCCTATCACAGCAGTTCAGGGTACAAGGCAGGAACCAACCACAGACAGGATGCCATTCCATCATAGGCTGTGCTCATACACACACTCACTCAGACTGGGACAATTTAGACATATCAATTAACCTAACACACACATCTTTGGGATGTTGGAGGAAATTGGAGTACATGGAGAAAACCCATGCAGACATGGGGAAAACTAACAAACTCCATATAGAGTGGCCTTCGGTGGGAATCCATTTTTTTTTCTCATCAATGTTATAACAAAAGAATGTTGAACAAAACAATGTTATTTGAGAATCCGCTATATAGTGCAAAATTAAGCAAAATGAAAGAAGATGCCGGGAATCCACGTGGATTCTTTATAAAGGCGGCAGTACCAGTGCTGGTAGTACTGATAGTAGTAAAGAAAGTTAAATAGATAAAATTCTGTAAAAGTTTTCACAATTTGGAGGGATAGGGATTGAGTTGCTGTAGTCTGAATGTTTATATTCCCCCCAAATTCATATGTTGAAATCCTAACCCCTAAGGTGATACTATCAGGAGGTAGGGCTTTTGGGAGGTGATTAGATCACGACAGTGGACTGGGATTCGTGCCCTTATTAAAGAGGCCCAAGAGAGCTTGTTTGCCCTTTCCACCATGTGAGGACACAGCAAGAAAGTTCTAACTATGAACTACGAAATGGGTACTCTCCAGACACTGAATCAGCCCTGATCTTGGATTTCCTAGTCTTTAGAACTGTGAGAAATAAATGTCTGTTGTTTATAAAGTATGCTGCCTATTGTCTTTTGTTTTAGCTGCCCAAATAATCTAAGTTAAGACAGGGGCCACAAGCAGCCAAGAGAAAGACCAAATGTCCTTACCCGACATTACTCATTACTGAGAAAGAAAGCCTCTATTCTTTTTTTTTTTTTTTTTTTTTTTTTTTTTTGAGAC